GTGTGTGTGTGTGTGTGTGTGTGTGTGTGTGTGTGTGTGTGTGTGTGTGTGTGTGTGTGTGTGTGTGTGTGTGTGTGTGTTGCATCTTATTTTCCATATATGTACATCACTTGTACATCCTGTGCCCTCCTTTTCAGTTCACACATACTACAAAACAAAATTGCAGCTATAGCCAATACCCTTTAATTTCTTTCTGCTACAGCAATGGGAAGAGCTGCACTGTTCAGGATTGAAGCTCCTGTGTTACAGGTTCCTATCACATTCAAAAACAGGACTTTTCATTGACTGCATAGTAAAATGGAAGTTGCACAGCTTGAGACTTGGTTTCCTATAGGGTTTTTTGTTTGTTTTAACAGGGCTTTTTTGGGGGGGTTAGTTTGTGAGGGGTTTTTTGTTGGGGTTTTTTTGCATATTTCAGCTATTTCCTCTAATGTTCGCACAATGCCTCATTAGGCTTTGAAATTAACTCCAATGCTTTCTAGCCTTTTATCCTCAATCTTTCTAAAAATATAGAAGTTTTTGCCCAAAATTAAGCCTGAAGAATATGAATATAACTAACTTCAAGTAAAAATTTAAGTTTTGTAAAGGTAACTAGCTATTGAATTTTGTATCAAATGAATGCAGTAAACCTTGCTACTTGATCTTTTAATTCTAATAAATTCCATCCTGATAGTAGTAATTCTGGAGTCCTCAAACTGAACATGGTTCCCGGTTTTGTTTATGGACACTTGCTGTATTAGAACTGATCAGTGATACAATAGGAAGACAGGAATAATTTATTTGTTTTTTAGATTTATTTCTGAATAGCTGTTTTTCTCCAGCTGACTTAATGAAATTGAAAAGATTTTCATCAGTAGATATCCTCAGCCAATTCTTGGAAAGGCCCCATGAAACATACTGATTTCTGTAACAATAGTGACTTGCCTCTAAAGTATGTACTAAAGGGCACTTAATTGGAATAAAAAGAAGTCTTTCTAAAATCATTTTCTAACAACTTTAGGAAAAAAAATGAAATTTTGAGCTGCATTAACAAAAGTATTGTATGTAATTCACAAGAGACAGTAATACCACTCTTCAGCCCTGGTTATACCCCATCTACAATATAACGTCCTGTTCAGGGAACTGCATTTTAGGAAACATCTAGAAAAACTGTCAGAGTCAAAAAAATGAGTGGTGACGATAAGGGGGTTGGAATGCAAGCCATTTAAGGAAAGATTGATATGTGGGTGAATTATAGACTGGAGAAAACAAGATTACAGGGTGGCATGAAACATTTTAAAATATTTGAAAGGCTGCCATGAAGAGGGCCTCTATTCTCCCTGGCTACAGAGGACAGGATGTGTAAGGTAACACGTAAATTGCAGAAAAACAAATTTAGGGAAAAATCCTTAAGAGCAAGAGGACAATGGAACAAACTGACAATGGAAGTTAAGGAATCTCCTTTATTAGAGGTTTTAAGAAGTGGCCAGATAGGGATCTGTCTGGAATGGTTATAGGAATAGCTTATTCTGTATTTTTGGAGGGGATTGGGAATCCTCAGTGTCCCCTCCCTGTGTGGATGTTATTTCATAATGCGTACGATTTGTGGATGAGACTAGTATCTAGTTTCAGTAGCATCCCAAAGATCTGGGGTGTCCAACTGACAACCTACAAACTATAAGCAGCCTGCAAGGGACTAATCTATTCTCCCTGTTGCTGCTTGCTCAACAGCCAGTCCCTGGGCTTTCCCTCTGGCTCCCGCTTCCTGTGCCTGCCCCAGGGGTGGTGCAGCATGCAGGAGCCTATGATGCAGGGAAGCCTGCAGCTGGTGAGTTGAGGGGTGCTGCCCATGTACATACAGTGGAGCAGTAGCTCAGGTGTGTGGTGTAACGGGAAAGGACTGTCCGACTGGTAGCCCATAGGCATGGTTTAGCAGGGTAGGAACCTGCTGGCAAGGGAGGAAGAAGAAGGGGTTGTATGGAGTGGGGTGGCTGCCTGTGTGCACTGTGTAGCACTGGGTCAGATGGTGCCTTGGTTTGCACTTTCAGTGTGCAGCCCCCAGGTGCTGAGAATTTGGGACAGCCCTGCTATAGAATAGAAAAGCCTAGTATATGGGAATGGTGGTATGTAAACCAGTCACTTTTATTTATAAGCTGATAACTTTTTTCCCTTTTTGTACTTTAATATATATAGGGTAGATGGTTCTATGCTCTGCTGGCATGTCTTGAAAAACCTTTATTGCCTGAAGCCCACTCTCTAATTCGCCAGCTGGCAAGGCGATGCTCTGAAGTTAGAGTACTAGAGGTAAGATCCAACTTCAAATCATACAGAATTGGGGCTGGAAGGGACCTCAGGAGGTCATTTAGTTTAACCCCCTACTCAGAGCAGGACCATCCCCAATTAAAGCATCCCAGCCAAGGCTTTGTCTAGCTGGGTCTTAAAAACCTCTGAAGATGGAGATTCTACAACCTCTCTGAGTAACCTGTTCCAGTGCTTCACTACCCTCCTAATGAGAGTTCTTCCTAACATCTAACCTAAACTTCCCTTGCTGCAACTTCAGACTACTGCTCCTTGTTCTGTCATCTGTCACCACTGAGGACAGTTTAGCTCCATCCTCTTTGGAACCACCCTTTAGGTAATTCAAGGCTACTATTAAGTCCCTCCCCATCAATTTTCTGTTCTGTAAATTAAATAAGTCCTGCAGCCTCTCCTCATTAAGTCATGTGCCCCAGCCCCCTAACCACTTTTGTTGCCTTCCACTGGGACCCTCTCCAATTTGTCTACATCTTTTCTACGGGGGGAGGGGGGGAGAGCAAAACTGGATACAGTATTCCAGATGTGGCCTCATCAGTGGTGAAATAATCAGAGGGAAATAATCACTTCCCTTGATCTGGCAACACCCCTACTAATGTATCCTGGTATGCCATTAGCCTTCTTTGCAACAAGGGCACACTGTTGGCTCATCTTCAACTTATTGTCCACTGTAACTTCCTGGTCCCTTTCTGTAAAAGTAGAAGAGGTGTGGGGATGATCTGACAGTTGTGGAAAAACTAGAACTCTGGAATACTCTTTCAACTAACTGAAGATCTAACTGGGTGTAGATTGTTTTTCATTCACTTAAGTAATCATTAATTTTTGGGGACATTTGAGATTACTGTAGGAGCTCAACAAGCTGTTTAATATTCTTTTCTGAACCATAGCAGCAAGTATCTGATCTAACATTATTTTTGTTTTGCAGGAGAACAAGAGTGAAGAAAGGGTGTCTGCTCTAAATTTGCTAATCTGTTTGGTTAGCAGGTACTGCAAATTTAGATATCTAAATAAAAGTTGCAATGAATGTTTGCATTGTATGTTGTACATATGTTGTCATAATCTATATTCTTTCCAGGCAAAGAAAACCAATCCAAGCTTGGATATTTGTACTTACTGTAACACACGTTTGCTCTGCTGAAAGGATCTAGGCTTGCCTTGGTGCTGCTAAAACAAGCATGTATCAACTCCCTCCAAAAAGTGGGGTTTTTCTAATGTCCTGATAATCAGTTACTAGTCTTCTGAGTAAACCTGATGGTATTCATAGGAAAACAAATATGTTGGAATAAGTGTGTTTAATACTCCCTTTGGCAGTAAATATACTGTAAAATAAGAGAAAGACATGTAAAAAAAATTCTAATTTGCCTTTGAAATACCAATATATTTCACTTGTCTCTCTCCAACAGGTATTTTGATCAACATGACCTAGCTGATAAACCATCCTAATCTGTGCTTGGCCTCCAAGCATCTTGCATCATCTGACTACCTATGGTACTATCAACAGTAACAGTCAGTTGCAGTGCAGATATGAGATACCATATAACCTCTCCAATACAGTCTCTTGATAATGGGTTTGGAACAGTTGTCAGTAGTAAAACTTAAACTGATTTGGCTTATTACATGAATTACTTCTGATGTGAAGTTACCACTGAAATGCCTACCCACTTCACACAAACCTCTGTCCAGCAGAAAGCCATAAACCAACTGAACTGTAGGTATGCAAGAACAGTTGATCCTTTAAACTTCTGGAATACAAGTTTACTTGTTTCAGTGGAATTACCACATGAATAAAGACTTCCAGGACTGATTCAAGCTTCATAGTTTTAAATGCAACAGACTTAAAGCAACCCAGCACTTCCCTGAACACACCAACAGAAAGGTGTTTTTTTGTGAAAGGGTTTTTTTGTGAGAAATTTTAAAATAAAATTTTCAAAACTACTTAAGCTTGTATGGTGTCTCAAAACAGTATTTTTCCAAATATATTTTGACTGCACCTTCTAGATCAGGGCTATCTAACTTCTAAGCAGCAGGGGGCTGGGCAACCTCTGGCAGGCAGACGAGCTGCAAGGAAGAGTGGTTGAGGGAAAACGGGGTGGGAGGGAGGAGACTAGCTGCTTTTGCAGTCACAGCCATAGATAGCAAGAGTGGCCAGGCAGGAGCCTGAGACCCACAACTTCACCCCTTGTGGGCTGCCAGCTGGACAGACCTGTTCTAGATGTCTTCAGAATTAACAGTTTTCTTTACATGAACATACAGGGGAGACTCCTGAATATACAAATCCAGCAGAAATTTGGTACCTGGACTAAGGTGATAAAATCTACTCAAACTCCAGTCCTCATGTTAGGCATTTTAACTGCCGTAGCATATCAAGATCATGCAAGAAAGTACCTTAAGGTACTGGTTAATGAAACAGTTTAACTGGACAGAACGAAGACCCACTTATACGCTCTCCTTTTAACGTGTGTGTTTAATGGACACAGTGAACAAGTCTGTATCTCTTCAATTTGCCCCACTGGGATCTAGACAATTATTTTGTTTTTCTCAGACTGATAAGAATACTTATTGTTTTAAATATCTTGTCTACTCAACTTGTGAAATTGATGTCTGTGGAAAGGTATATGCACAGTGTGTATGCATGAGCATGCACACACTCCGACTTAACGTGCTAAGAACTTGGTTGGAGGGAAGCTACTTGTTATGTAGAAGAAACAATATAGTATGGACACATGGCAAAAAATTACTGTTATATATGGTATTAGTTTTATTTTCACAATATTCAAGAAATAAACTTCCATTCTGTCTAGTTTTTACTTCTCTACAGGAAAGTGTACATATCTTACAGCACACCCATTTGTTGATTTAAAACCTCAACCTTCCTCCTCTTAGCAATGACTGGAGTTCTACATGTGACTAAAGATAAACTGAATGTGTAATTACAGTTTGACCCTCACTTCCTTATTTAATGCTAGAAAGGAATAGATGTTTATATAGTTTGATTCAGTTGTGGAAAGTAGATCTTAACAAGTACAACAGTACTGCTCTTATATAGACTTGTGCATATCCTTGTGAGTTCTGTAAGCTTTTCTCTGTCCTTGTCTCCCTCTGGAGAGTGGGGATTAAGTCCTCTGCACAGCACCAGCTAAGCACAAGAGATGATGCCACAATATAGTGTGGTAATACAAACACCACAAATGTCTGACTGCACCTGGCAGTCTTTAAAGAGAGTGATGGCATTGAATCAGATTGCCCTCACGTAATAGAATGTACATGGGGTACTACTATGGCAGCTGAACACTGTCAAGATGCATCCACAGGAACAGTCTACACTAACATATGGTGCTGTGTTTGAAAACATAAAATCCACAAGGCATAACAGAAGTATGCTAGGCCAGACCTATCTCTGATAGTGGCAAGTATGAGATGCTTTAGAGGGAGAGTATGTAGGGCTGTCCAACTGGTGGCCCGTGAGAGGCCAGTGTGCATTTGCCTCTTCCCCTCCCATGCAGTGGAGAAGGGCCTGGGAGATGGCCATGTTGCTATCCACATAGCGAGGGTGGAAATACCATAAGTGGGGGAAATCCCAGGGGGCTGTGCAGCCAAGGCAAGGGTCAGCAGAGGCATATGGTCTGTACTGAAGCTGGGCAGCCCTGCCCTAATATAATCTATCCCTGATCAGACCATTTTGGGCATCAACTATCAGAGATACCAGAAGTTACATCTCTGGCTGTTCTGTTTAATAGATAAGAACATAAGTGCCATACTGATCCATCTAGCCCAGTGTCCTGTCTATGACAGGGTGCATATCTGAGCAGTTTCACAGAGTGGTGTCCACCAGTTCCTTGGATTCCTTCATGGGACAATGCATGCTGGCCAGTGTCCCCCTCCTTGGAACACTCTGTGAACCTTTGACTCACATTCATCCCTATTCCCTCTACTATTTTGTCCCAATAAATCTGTTGCTACACTTCTACTAGCCTCCTTAATTGAGGAAGGCTTACAGTTTTATTGGTGTGCTTAGGGCCACTGCATTTGGCATAACAAATAGGCCTGTCAGTGGCAGAAGTGGATACCTTAGAGAGACAGCATTGAACCAGGTATAGCTAGAGCAAGGGCAGGCAAAGTCCAGCCTGCAGGCCAGATCGGGCCCATAGTGGACTCGTTTCCCAGCAGCCCCTGCCTGCATTGCTGCAGACAGTTTCTATAGAGACCACAGGAGCAGTGAAAGTGCAGGGCCAGGACTTCCATGGAGACGGGTCCCAGCAGTGCTGGCAGGGCATGCGGCTGGGAGAGAAGCTGCTCTGGAACTGGGATCTTGCGGCGGTGACAGCATGTTCCAGAGCCAAGACAGAGCCATGACACACTGCCCTGTGCAGGGAGCAGAACTGTGCAGGCAGCAGATCGTGGCTCTGCCCCAGCTCTAGCCCACTCTGTCACTGCCACAAGATCCCAGTCCCAGAGCAGCTCCCCACCCAGCCATGCACTGCAGGGCCAGTCTCCATGGAAACTCTGGCCCCACACAGTCGTGGTGCCACTACTCCTGGGGTCTTCATGGAAACCAGACACAGCAACATGGGCAGGGGCTGCTAGGCACTGGAGTCCACTGCAGGCCCAATCCAGCCCATGGGCCAGACTTTGCCTGCCCCTGGTCTATAAGGTGCAAATCTACCCTGCGCCTTTTCTTGACTTCAGACATACATGGCTAACTACGTCTCTATTCACAGATCTATCATCTATGAATTTCTCTAATCCCTTTTTAACCTGACTATACTATCTACCACTACAGCCTCCTGTGGTAATAAGTTCTGCAAGTTAATGCTACACTGAATACAAACATACTTTCTACTATTAGTCTTAAACCTTCTTCCTACTAATTTCAGTGAGTACCCCTTCGTTCTAATATTCTGGGAGGTGCTGAGTAACAGTTCCCTATTCCCTTTCACAACTATCATGATTCTACAGATCTCTCTCAGCCTTCTATCTTCTGAATTAAGGCCATCCTAGCCTTTTAGTCTCTCCTGGTACAGCAGCTTCCCTATACCCCTGATCTTCTGGGTTGCTCTTCCCTATACCTTTTCTAATTCTACTACACCCTTTTTGAGATGCAGACTAGGACTGTACACAGTGCTTAAGATGTGGGCATACCATGGATTTGAATAGTGACAATGATGTTTTCCATTTCCTCCTTAACAATGGCTGTTTTATTAATTGTTTTGGTATCAATGAACTATCAATGGAGCTATCCAGGAGTATCTGATTCCTTTATGCACTTCTGTAACACATTAAGCACTTCATGACATTGTAACTATCACATAAACACAGGTTATTACACTGCGTGTGAACTATACCCCCTCTGCAGACAAGCCTATTCTGCTCTTAAATCCTATACCAGTATAACTGCTACTGATATAAGCAAATGACTGCTCTCTAAAAGTTATGCTAAGACCCAATGCTCTGTACCATTAGACTTAATTCATTCTGGCCCTGACGCAAGATAATGATTATTTACATCTTAGTTTTTTACATGAAGCGGACAGCATCATACTTGTTCCTCACCACTACTCCAGTTCAGTTGTAGATGCTTTCTAAAACAGTAAAGTTAAAAGCAAGACTCCATGCCCTCTTCACAATTTTGTCACAGAGATTGTGCAAACAGCTCCTTTGTATCATTACAGAATTATGTGCATGAAACAGTTACAGTAAAAAGTTACTGCATGCTCCAGGGCAGCAACTCCCTTTCTTTTTGACACTGCTCCAAATGTATATGCTGTCACTAGAATACTTTCAGCACATCTACCCTGCAAACTTAAGTGCTGTGCAACAGGTTGCACTCCTTTAGGCTACCCTCTAAACTGGATGCTGTACCACCGCACATCCACATAGTGTTGCATCCAGATTAAATTAGCCACCCGCAGAACTGCAAACCTGTCTACACTGCTTCCAGTTCACGTGGTAACATGCTCAGAGCAGAACAGCTTGTCTGAAGGCACTGTTATTCACCAAGTTCCAGTTAGCTGTTAAAAACAAAGCATGCGTTTACAGTAGAAAGACTAGGACCTGAATTGATCCTCTGAAATCTTCTCTGCAGCAAACTGTATTAATTTAAAACTATGCTATGTTCATTCGTGCTTCAAAACAAAGCAACAAATACTGTATACTAAACCCCTATGCCTTTACAGAGCTTCAGTGAAATCAGGGAGGTTCCATCCAGACCCACTTACCTACCCGCATGTGGCCTGTTAAAGGACAAAAGCTTTATTCTACAATAAAAGAAAGTGTCCTGTTACTGCACTACTGAAACTGTACTAAATTCCTATCTTTGTCTAGCAGTACATGACCTTAGTTGGAGAATTCACCTCTCTTACTCTATAGTACAGCCTACTGTACAAACAGCAATGGCGTTTGATCATTCACAAAAGGTCCTATCCTACCTTTTCTCCCCACCTTTCCTCTAGTTGAAGGTACAAATAACCATCACTCCTAAGAACTGAAAGTGACCACTCCAAAATAATGCAAAAGTAACTGCAGCCTGAGCAGCTTGGAGCAAGGCAGTGAGAACTGTGAAATTACAGCTGATATCCAGGTACTCCATAACACCAGTTCTATTTTGATTTAGGTCTTAACCAGATTTTCTTTTCCAGTTGTGAAGATTCTCAAAATACATATGCCTGAAGTCTTCAGTATATTTCGAGCTGGTAACCAAAATGTTCCTGTTGCTGAATCAACCAAATTTGAATCATGCTGGATATTTAATATCTTGGTATAGAACTCACTAACATCACACCAAGATAGTAGTAATAGTGTTATTTT